GTTGATTATTTCTAGGTTGGTTATTATTATTTTGTGGAGGGTTATTTTGTTGGTTATTATTATTTCTTGGATTAGGACAATTCTATGCAATGTGTCCAGATTGAAAACAATTAAAACAAACAGGTCCTCTTTGATTATTATTGTTGTTATTATTATTATTGTTTTGGTTGTTTCTTCTAGAACAGTTGTTGTTTTTAATTTCTTTTCAATTTTCTTTTCAAGATTTTTTATATATTTGGTGAGAGCTTCTATTATAATTTCAACAGAATTAGAAGATGTAGGAGTTGGAGTAATAATATTATTGTTAAGATTAGGAGCAATATATATTGCAGTATTATAGCAAGTAAGTTCACAGGTTTTTGCTCTGTTAACTACTCCATTCCAAGTATTTTTACCAAATGGACGTACTACTATTTGTAATTCTGTTCTTAAACCAGTAGTAAATTTACGAACTTTTTCTATTTCTGGGTAAACATTAGTATTTGTTTCTAATCGACAATATAATTCATGTAGATGCATAGTATATTGGTCTACAGTTTTAGATAGCTCTTGTACACAGTGAGTTAGCTCAGTAGCTCAGATATCAATAAGAACAAAAGTACAAAATTGGTTAAGAAATCAAGGTTTAAAACTATTAGCTTGGTTTAGTGCATCCCAATATCCAAAAGCTTGTTGTTGGTTAGCATTATTATACCAGATTTCTACTTTATTTTTAAGATAAGTAGGAATAATTTGTAATCTTTTTGCATTAGTAAAGTTGTTAGCTATAGCCATATGTTCAAACTCTTCAATCCAAGTAACTGGGTCTTGATTGCTACCAGCAAAAGGTATAATTTTGATAAGTTTGGTTTCTTTTTGTTTAAGATGGTTAGTATTATTTGTAACAGTATTTGTTTGATTTTGAATCTGGTTATCTAGTGTTTGAATAGTAGCAATTAAATTGTTAACATCTTGTGCTTGTAATGCTATATTATTATTTGGAGGTAATAATAGTAGGGTAATAAGAAAAAAAAGTACAGAAGTTTGATATAGTTGTTCTAAATCAAATTCAGATAAGTCAGAAGTTTCAGAAGTTTCAAACTCTACTTCACTATGATTATAAAGAATTAGAAAGAGATCTAAAGTAAATTGATTTGTTCGAAGATAAGCAGTATAGATTTGAGTTGGTAAAGAATCAAATACTAAAAGAGTTAAGTTTTGTTAGTATCAAATAGAAAGATAAGGTTTTCAAAACGTTTTAAAGGTAAATTATTAATATCATATTCACTAATATCTTGAAAAACTAAAATAGTATAATCAGAATATTGAATGATAAGAAATTCTGCAGAGAACTGTCTAAAAATTAACAAAAAAAATATCTATTTCTGTGTTTATAGGATAATAAATAGAACAAGAATAATCAAGAAGATGTTGAGTTAAATAATCAAAAATATCTGTCATATAATTATTTCTTTGCTAAAATAGGTTAAGATTATTAGTTATTCAATAATTAATTGAAGTTAAAGTATTTACGAGAAAAGTCAAAGTATTGTTAATTAAACATGAAATAAAAAAAGATAAATATATTTGAATAAGAAGATAAAATAGAAAATAAAGTATATTTATAAATAGAATAAAGATAAATAGAAAAAATAATAAATAAGAATAAGAAATAAAAAGATAGAAGTTAAGAAGATAGAAAAGAAATATGTAATAAAAGAATCATGATAAAAAAAAACTAAAGCAGTAAAGAAAAATATCTCTTTCAAATATTATGTTTCTGCCAGGAGGCACTAAATATTATTTTTCTATTTTTGTATAACTAGGTTCAAGGTAGAGTCTAGCAGAAAGGAGCAATAACTAGCAGTTCGGTTTTAAAGAACTAAAGCAGAGAGTAATATTTAAAAGAGTAGAACTTTAATAGCAGAGAACAAATAAGATAGAGTATAACTTTATTAAATTCAAGGGAGTCCAGACTTAGTTCAAGCAATATAGCGAATACCATTAGACTCAGAGAATCCAAACCTTATACACTCTAAGAATAACAAAAAACAACAAAGAAAATAACAAGAAAACTCAGAGAAAATAACAATTTCCAAGAAGACAATAATAGTTTATTATTAGCAATCAAATTACAAGAACTTATACAAAGTTATATTGAGGAAGAGAAAAAAGATGACTATTTATAATGTTTTAGGACTATGTAGATATTAATTTAACGTTTATTTATCATGTAGCATATATAGGGTTACATAAAACTCTTTCTGTAAATCACTTACACAAAACAAACTCTAAAAAATCTCAACATAAAAATGACTATAACTTCTTGAACTATTAAGCAAAC